ATCCCTCTAAGCTAAGGCAATAAAGGGGAGAAAGAGCAGAGGAGAAAGAAAACATTAGGTTACTGAAAAAAACGATTGTTAAGAAAGCATTAAACTGACAAGATTGTCCACACCAAGCTAATCGAGGCATCAGGGAAAATAGAAGAGGAATGATAAAACGTGGGACTTTTAGCCTATGATTTCACTTCCAAGAAAATAAACAGAACTTCTGAAGATTCTGAACACCTTTGTCATATTTGCCAGGTGAAGCTTCGACTTCCACACTAATATATGAGTATAAGAAGATCAAACCTTTGTTTTCATTGCTATTAAATTTATTGATCACAATTAAAGCAATGTAATTGTGGCCATTTCATCCAACACAACTATCCTGTAACAGGAAGAGTAGGCTGACACTGGTGGTTAAGGAGATCATGCTAAAGTCAGTTGAAGCATTAGGTTAGGGATTGCATTTTGCACATCTTAATTTTGGTTACATAAAACTAAATTAAGCTTGGGGGTGTAGTGTTTATGCAAACCCCCCTCCTAAATAGATTTTACTAATTAGATTAAGTGGCTGTGGGAATCAAGCCATTGATCTGAGTTCAAATACTACATTTAGTTATTAAAGACTTTGAAGGAGATCCCTATTCGTCTGTGGTGATCAAAAATCAGAATTTTGCGACTCTTCCCTCTCCTTAATACTATAGAGTGTGGAACAAATTATATGTATGGTTAGAAAAAAGGAATCAAAACAATAATTCGGAATGTTAATTTAATCGGGTTAAAACGAGGAAGTGTAAATTACTGAATAGCGTTAACCTGACAGTGATGATTGTGTAAATAGATACAAATGTAAATATAAGTACATAGACGAACAATTGAATAAAAACAGAGAATATATATCCATGACAATACAGTAAGCTGTAAAATAATATATGATGTAATATTGTTTGTTATGTGTTTTTAATGTGTTTTTGTTTTTGTTGTATTTTTCTTTATTTTGTTTTTAAAAGTCAAAAGTTCAATAAAAATTATTTTTTTAAAAAAATCAGAATTTTGGTAGCATCCGATAAAGGAATGAAATTATTCCATTCATTTGATGTTCTGATGATGTACCTGATGAAATGAGCTGCAACTCATGAAAGTTTATGCCATTTAATAAAGTTTGTTAGTTGGAAAAGGTCTTACCAAACTTCGTCTGATGTGGTGTTACTATATTAACCCATTTTCTGGAGCCACATACAGTATGTGGAATAGTAAACTAAATGTGCTGGGTACACATTATTTGCATAGTTATGTACGTACAATTAAACTAATCAAGTGTGGTATATTATGAAAATGTACCTAATTAAGCATCTGGGCAAACTCAGCCACTAAGAGAATGATGTACTTCAATCTCCTTAGCCAAGACAGATTCAGAATTCTGCCTCTTAACTGTTACTCACACACTGGCTGGGTTCAGCCAAAATGTGAGGTTTCTTGTTTCTAACTTGGTGCATTGGTGTGTTGAAGCAAACAGTTATTGTAATTTATAAACCTAAATAAATGTGAGTTATTCAGTTCACCACAGACAAATAAGTAGCTTGATGTGAACATGATTGTTAACAATTTCCAGAACCATACAGCAATAAAAAAATTTTAGTGGAACATTTAAGCTTGATAGCTGTATTGTGAGAGAAGTGTCAGCCAATTCTGTAAGTTTAGTGAAAAATTCTGCCTTAGTCATCTACCATAAAACTGTTTTTCTTTCTTTCTAAAGTTTCTAAACAGATATTTCTAAGAAACTAATCAGCCTGAAAATAATTAATTTTCTTGGATAATTGTACATTATCCAAGAAAATGCATTTCACATTGCATTTCACATTGCAAACAAAACCTACTCTTTATTTTATTGTAGGAATGAAACCCAATCTTGGAATTTATTCAGCAAATCATTTTGTCATGAAGCTTCCTAAATGTAGATACCGTGTTCTCCTGAAAATAAGACCTGGTCTTATTTTCTTTTGGGCCCCATAATAAGCACTTGGGCTTAGTTTTGGGGATGTCTTATTTGGGAGGTGGACTTGCCCCATGCGCCCCGTACCCACTTACCTGGTCACGCCAGTGGAGCCACTCATGGTAGAACACCATGAGGCTCATCTCGCTGGTTGAGCTGCTTGCGGCAGGGCACCGCAAGGCTCGCCTCAGTGCTGGAGCCACTCCAGAACGCCACAAGGCTCGCCAGTGGAGTCATTCATGGCAGAACACCGTGAGGCTTTCTGTGAGGCTCGTCTTGCCGGTGGAGCCACTCGCAGAATGCAGCGCGTGTCCTGACATGAGCGGCTGCCCCGGCGACACAAGCCTCACAGCATTCTGCTGCAAACAGCTCGCCTGGTGAGTCCGAGCCTTGAAGCATTCTGCCGTGAATGGTTCCATCAGCAAGACGAGCCTCACAGTGTTCTGCCACGAGAAGCTCCATCAGAGCAACAAGGTAAGCAGGTGTGGGGCGCGTGGGACACCTCCCCCTCTGCCTTAGCTTGATTTTTACACCTGTGCTTCACTCCTCCTCCTATAGTCATATATTTTAGGGGTGGGGCTTATTTTAGAGGCAGGCAGTGGTGGGATTCAAGTAATTTAACAACCGGTTCTCTGATCTAATGATTTCTTCCAACAACCAGTTTGCCAAACTGCCCAGAAAGTTAACAACCGGTTCTCCCGAAATGGTGTGAACTGGCTGAATCCCACCACTGGACGCAGGTGTGAAAATCGGGTTAGGGCTTGTTTTCTGGGTCAGTCGTATTTTGGGGGAAACATGGTAGTTAATGTTTCACCATCTGCCAAAATATGTTTATTTATTACTCATTATGTGCCATCAAAACATTTTATTGCCCACTTTATATAGACTCATTTGGATTTAAATGACTGAACAGAATTTCTTTTCAACAAAATAAAATAAATAAGAATAGAATTAGAAAATGTCACTACATACGTTTTACAATTTGAGCATAGCTGTAAAAATTAAAACTCTAATTGTTATTTAAGTTTAAAATATTTTAATATTCTTTTATTTACATCTGGCCAACTGTGTTTCTGGGGGTAAAAAAGAATTAAGAAAGTAATGCTATCGCACTGTCACTAGATGGAAGCATATCATAAACATAGGGTCATTTTAAAATAGGATTGAATGAGGTAGCCTTTTAACAGAAGAAAGAAATCTCAAGAGTTGCAGGCTAATTGGGAAGGGGGAAAAAAGCAATGACAAACCACTTTGTAATATTGCCAAGAAAGCCCTGTAGATGGTCCATGCAATCACCAGGAATGATTTGAAGTAGGCAGTTATTCTTTTATTGAATCTGAACCGCCAGATAGCTGTTGGCTTGCTCAATTGTTCCAAATAAGAGGACCTCTGGGAAGTGGCAACAGGGTGATTGGCCATAATTTTATAGGGGACAAAGCATGAGTAACATACTCTCTTCCTACATCATTGGATGGTGTAGTTGCAGGATCACTTCCCATTTTTTCTTTCAAACATTTTAAAAGTTTGTAAAGAAAGGTAATGCAAACCTAAGCTACAGTTAGATAGATGATAACATAGGTAGATAGTTGGATAGATTAGATAGATGGATAGATATTGAACTATAGTTTAGGTTTGCATTATATCCCTTTACAAATTTATCTATATCCATATATTTGTAAAGGAATGTAATGTAGTTTAATATACAGTATATAGGGAGATTGAACTATATACTACATATATAGTGTATATAGCATCATCATTATCATCATTTAGCCACTGTCTATCCACTGCACGATGAAGGCCTCTTCCGCCTGTTTCCAACCAATACGGTTCTGAGCTTTCTTTTGCCAATTGGGCCCTCAATACTTGCTGATATTGTCAACCCACCTTGTTTTAGGTCTCTTTAGTAGACTTTTTATCATGTGGGATCCATTCTATGACTGCCTTGGTCCACCTGCCATCAGTTCTTCTTGCTATGTGACCAGCCTGTTTCTCTTTCAATTCTTTTGCTCTCTTGATGATATCATATACTTTTGTTTCTTCTCTAATCCATGTGGAGGTCTTTCTATCTTGTCCTGTCATGCTGAGCATGTATCTTTCCATGGCTCTTTGTGCCACTTGTAGCTTTTGTATTCATTGTGAGCAGTAGTGAAATCCAAATTTTTTTTACTACCGGTTCTGTGGGTGTGGCTTGGTGGGCATGGCAAGGGAAGCATAGTGCAAAATCTCCATTCACACCCCACTCTGGGACCAGCCAGAGGTGGTATGTGCCAGTTCTCCAAACTACTCAAAATTTCTGCTACTGGTTCTCCGAATTGCTCAAAATTTCTGCTACCAGTTCTCCAGAACCTGTCAGAACCTGCTGGATTTCACCCGATTGTGAGGTTAGTGTCCATGTTTCACCCCAAAGGGACTTGCTCCTCCCAAAGGGAAGATATATAGCGTATAGTTCAATCTTTCTCTCTCTCTTCAATACATATTATAGAGCTATAGCTTAGATTTGCATTACATTCCTTTACAAATTTTGTAAGGATGTGGATATGGCATAGGATATGTATGTGTGGGGATTCTGAACACGAGCCAGCACTCCAGCCCTAACAGCACTATTACTCAAAAATGAAACTTCCTTTCTTCGTTTCATCCACCCACCCGTGGCTCCTTGAGTTCAAAAGCAGAGGAACTGCAAAAGGAAATTTTATCAGTGCTCCTTCTGTAGGGCACTACAGAACACCCCGGAGTGATGATCTCAGGAGCTCTGTGGAACTGGAAAGAAGACGCTCCCCGCAGTTTTCTCCTTCCCCCATCCAGGATTCACGACATGAGATCCTTCTGAAGGCCCTTTGGGAAGAAGAGCGATTCCCTTTGAGGTTCCCAGCGCTTTGTAGATCCTCCCCAGTGAGCGGCTTGTAAAAAGCGCGGGGAGCAACAAAGCAAACCTGCCCTAGAGGAATACTAGATACTCGGAAGGGGGAGAGAGGCGGGAATGAACGTGTCAGCCAGCACCCGCCTTTCTGCCACGTGGCCCCGAGACTGCGGCCGATGGGCACCAACCGGCGGTGCCAAGCGACTGCGCCAGGAGAAGAAAGAGAAGGCCTCTTTCTACGGCCCCCCCACCCCCTTCACCTCACCCAAACCCCACACGCGGATCCGCGCTGCCTGGAGGATTTGGTTACTGGAGGAAGAGATCCATGCTCAACGGCGTTGCTCCCTGCTGCTGTGCCACGCCCTGCCTCGCAGAGGGTGAGGGCTGCCCTGCAGAATGGGTGTGCAACGGACAAGGGGAGGGAGGATATATGGCATCACCGGACTCTCCGGCCTGAAGTCCTTGAGGGCAGGAGTGGAGGCAAGAGCTGTTGGGCGCTAGGTTCCCCCCCCCCCCGCTGGCTGCGTTCCCTGCAGCTGGAGTACTAGCAGAGGGAAAAGATAGGGAAGACTGTGCCACGTCCACCTGCAGGTCAGACATGCTTTTTAACCATTTCTATCTACTTTAAAGCAAAATGTAGAGAAATTAATGGAGTAAGTGACGGGCTCTGCTGCAATCTGTCTCTCTAGTAGCGGCTTAGTTTTCTATTTGCAATGAATGACGGGAGAGAACATCCTGGGAAAATGTATTTCCCCTTAGCTGCAGCTGAATGTGGTAAAGGGCATGCTAGAATCTGTGGTAGGGCTGCACCCCATCTTCTGACAGGTAATGTGTGGGAGCAGCATGAAAGGGGTGAGCTGACCTGGAATGTAGAATAATGTGTGGGAAGGAAGAATGAAATATTGCTTCCCTGCTTGATTCAGGTTAGTAAAAGGTACTAAGGATGTGAATTATGGGCTGACTGTTCTTACAGGCAGCATAGCTGCACTTGGTGGCAAATCGGACCAGACCGGCTTTTCTTCCAGATGGACGGGACATGATACTGTCTGTCTTCTGTGGCTGGAAACTTTGATTTTGCTAGCCCACAGTGTGCAACAGGATACCATAGTGTTCACGGGGTGCCATAGACATCTCTGTCATTGCAGGGAGCGGTCTCCATTCCAGAGAGATATTGCTACCTCCAGTGTCCTGCAGAACGTGAACTGAAGTGTCTCATCCCTGCCCACCAGGACCAGAATGAAGGGGCTATTTCTAGCAGTTTGGCTCTTCATTGTGCCGGCCAGATGGGCAGCACCAAAGAACAGCAGTGGCAGGTACCACCTAGTTGTAAGGGATGAGGGTTTCTGTGAACACAGAGGTGGACGGGAAACTGTCTCCTAAAGGAGCCTTCAGAGCTGAAAATGGGTCTGCAATCCATTTCCCATTCAGCAGAGGTGATTAGCCATCTTTATACTTGCCCCACTCTTTTTATGTCTTCTAGGCCTGAGATCCTCCACGATTCCATGGATCAACCTATCCTGAATCCTCTGCACCCAAGCCAAGTTTCTCTAAAGTAAGTACATGTCATCCAACAGGTGTGTCTCTCCCAAAATTCAGCCCTTTTGCTACATAAGACAGACTGATATCCAAGAGGTCCAAAATATGGAAGATGGTTGGTTGATTGTCTTTCTGTCCCTTTCCCTTTCCATCCCAGGACATTCCATTTCCATTTTCTCTCTAAAAAAGATTCCATCAGCATATTCAAGTAATTTGTGTATTCCAACTGAACTTGGAGACCTTTTAGATCTGGTTTGCCTTGGCCTTGGCCTTGGCCTACCAACATGTTAATGTTCATAATCAATCAGGCATATACTAGCTGGATTTAAACTACTTACTAGCCTAGGCCAAAATGGGAGCTTGGGAACTTATAGTTTTGCAAGTTGTAGGGCCTCAACTATTATCTTAGGTATTAGGAACACATCATTTATTTATTTATTTGAGCATAGCATGGGGTATGAACACAGCAACTGCATTTTGTTCCTTCAGATTTAGGATTTAGTATGTTGGCTGAACTCGGGGATTAAAAACTTATCTGACTATTTGAAGAGTGTCCTCTCTGCACCATTGAGCCTGGGCAGGTGTCCAAAAAAAAGAAAGGATTGGAGGCCCTAATGATTTTGACTGCCCATCTTCCCACTCACTGATTCCGAGAGCTACATTATTCTCTGTTGCAATGGTTGCTATCTTGTCCTGCAAGTCGATCAATGTTTCTGTGTTGTGGTTTGTTCCATCATGACAACATAATGTTTGATGGCTTGGTCTGTTCTAGGGTGCTCCAAGACTATCTGGAGAACATTGGGCAGTTGAATGGGGATGCTGCTACCATGACAAGGGAACAGGGTAAGAACTTTACTACGTAATGCATGTTGAGAGGGCAACTGATAGCTCCTCGCTCTAGGAAATAAGAGAATAATTTTAAGCACACATTTAAAAGTAAGGGTTCCAATGCTAGCAATGCAAGAGTTCCCTTTTGAAGTTGGAAAAGGTGTTCCAACAGACAAATATACAAGATTATCTGAGAAAACAACAACACCACATAACAAAAACAACACAAGTTTTGAGTCCACAACAGCTAATTTTACAGATTGAGAGAAACATTGTCAGAGCAAATAAAGAAAGCAAAACAAACACCTTACATAAGGTGCCTGGATATCTTTCACTAAAGAGAAAACATCTTTTGAAATCAGACAGCTTGGCTGCAGAAAAGGTGCAGCTTCTCTTATCAATTTGTCTCCTTAAAATTATTCTGCTCAAAGGCAGAGCTTTTTTTGAGTCAGTAGTTATTTTTCCACCTTCTTTGAAGTTAACCCCTCAAGTTTCATTAAAATGCAAAGGATTATCAATCACCCATTTCCCTCTAAAAAATACCTTTTTGATCACAGCAAGCCTGGCCCTGACAGAGAAGTAAAAGGTGGTGGTTTCTTATGCAATAGTTTGAGATTTTATCTGATTCAACGTGGCCATCTCTGATAACGGGTATTTTGCTTTCACTTTTTAATCTTGTGGTCAGTCTGAACTCACTCATGCAAAGACTATTATTATGTAGTAAAATTGAAGCCTAACATAAATCCCCAGCTTGCCCCATACAGTTAGATGGCTGAGGTTGTGCTGGATGTTTTCCCTTTCCTCTGTTCTCCTCAAGACAGAAGAAAAACAATCCAGTTTTGTTTTTGGGGTCTCCTTTACATGATTTGCAGAGTACTGGAGACAGTTCAGGGTTTTTAGAACTCCCTTTCCTACACTTGTTCTTCCAGATAGAACCAGAATACTTTAAAGACCACAGAGACGTCTTCGGATAGTGCTGGCTCTTTGGCTTTGAAACGGAGATGAGCACCACCCCCTAGAGTCGGGAACGACTAGCACATATGTGCAAGGGGAACCTTTACCTTAACCTTTAGCTCTCTTTGGAAATGTATCAGTGGCTAATAAATGTTAGACATGAAACAAATTATTCTAGGCACAGATTTTCTGTGGCAGAGAGTGCCCAGGATCCCTGGAATTCAGCAAACCCTATGCAGAGGTACACAGTTTCCTCTCCAGCAATCAGAGATGTTACTGGACATGGACAAAATGAAATGTTCTTGTAACGGGTTATAGGTTTGTTTCTGTTGTTGGTGCTGATACGGATATAAATGCTGCCTTTCAGGATGGATTCATTCTGTTATGCTAAATTTGGAAATTGATGCTTGTGATGTTTACAGCCTGTCTTGCTCCTGTTATGCCAATTAAGCAATAGACAGACAGGCATGGAATATTTCCAGGCATAAATTCCCACTCACGAACCAGCAAGCCCAACTTCGCTTGGCATCAGAAAAGGCTTTTAAACCTCATAGATGGAGTATAAGAACCTGAAAATGTAGTGAACTTCATCTTTTATTTTTTTTAAAGCCCTAGCAGATATCAACAGGAAATGAGCCAAGCTCATTTTAGGATCCAGAGACAATAAGGACATCAGTAAATAAAGGGATTTTAAGCTTCATTAGCTCAAGCAACAGATTTAAAGGCATAATATAAAAAGCATACATACCAAGGAAGATGAAACCCAGATCTCTTACAAACTGAACCATGAGATGGGCAGTAAATACATTTGATATTTAAAAAAAAAAACTTAGCAGGAGCTCCTTCATAACAACAGCAGAGATAGCATGAGGGCTGCCAGTTTCCACGGTACCCAATGCTAGGTTCTTGCAGAAGCTCCCAATGAATAACAACAACCCCAAGGTTTTTTTTAGTACCTGGCATCATGATTTCATGGCTCTGCTGTGATCATGAAACTGCAAGACCTGACCTTGGCTGAGTGGCATATGACTCTGGGACAGGAACTGAAATTCTGTGATTTTCACAGGTTTGCAGCTATGTGAAGATTCTCTCTTTGATTCAGCAAGCAAGAGTGAAAAACAACCAGCTTGGTTCAGAATGAGCTCTGCACTTCTAGATTTTTTTTTAATATGAAGGAGAAATCAAAGCATGTTGCTAAACTCCTCAAAATAAGAATGGTCTTCAAACTACTCAAGAGAATCTGGGATTGCACTGTGGGAGAGAAAACTAGATTCCTTAGCCACTCCGCCTCCCAGTGATCAAGGAAAGTGGGGTTTGGTGGGAATATTGTTTAGGAAAAACCATCAGCATTCATAGAATCATTGAGTTGGAAGTGTCTCTGAGGTCCTAGAATCAAAACCCCTTGCTCCATGCAGGAATCCAAATGAAAGCATTCTTATCAGATGACTGTCCAATCTCACAGAAGAATCCCCTCACATCTCTACTGAATTGGAACTACTGTCAGATGCTCTTATTACAGTATTAAGAAGCTCTTGCTGACATTCATTGGGAGTCTGCTGTAATAGGCTGTGAGAATATCCTTGAGGAACAGGGGGAAGAGCCCCAACCAAGACAACCGACAGATAAAAGAATCTGAGTCCAAAGAAGAAATGTAATCTGAGAAAACGTCTCAGAATTAACCCTTCTTAGTTATCTTATAAATAATGGCAGGGTGGGAGGGACACTTTCAGGCTTGCAAGATTGTGTTACAGGTAGTCCTTGACTTATGACCACAATTGGGAGCAGTATTTCCATTGCTAAGTAAGGCAGTTGTTGAGTTGTGCCCAATTTTATAACCTTTTTGCTACTGTTAAGTAAATCACTGCAATTGTTAAGTGAAACATGCAGTCAATAAATGAATCCACTTCTTCCCATTGACTTTGTTGTTGGAAGCTGGCTGGGAAGACCACAAAAGACAATCATATATGATCCCATGATTTTATTTTATTTATTTATTTATTTGATCAAATCTGTATACCGCCCTACTTCCAAAGGACTCAGGGCGGTGAACAGACATTAAATAAAACACATAGATAAAAAAGTTAAGAGCAGAATTAAAACCAAATTAAATATTTGAGCCCAAGACAATTTAAAACATCCCAAAAATTTAGAACAATTTTAAAATTTCAATTTAAATTAAAAAATTAAAAATTAAAAGGGGGGAAAGGTCAGGCCAGGCCGGCTTGCTGAAATAGAAAGCTCTTTAGAGCGTGGCAGAAAATGCGCAGGTCCGGGATCCTACGTATCTCCGGGGGGAGCTCATTCCAGATAGTAGGTGCCCCCACAGAGAAGGCCCTCCCCCTGGGTGCCGCCAGTCGACACTGTTTGGTCGACGGCACCCGGAGGAGCCCCTCTCTATGAGAGCATACCGCAACCATCGTAAATACAAGCCAGTTGCCAAGAACTGGTTGTGAGTCACTTTTTTCAGTGCCTTTGCAACTTTGGTCCCTAAACAAAAAGTTGTAAGTCAAGGACTACCTGTACTATAAGCCTTTAATAAAAGTAGCGCTAGTTTTCTAGTCTGGTCTGCTGCAAAGATTGACATCTGCTATGCTTTATCTTAAATCCATTGTTCCACATCCTGCACCCCGATACAATGGAGAATAGCTCCCATCAGTAGCTTCCACTAGGAACAGTGTTGGTCTCTGCTGTTTTTTGGTTCACTATGCATTACTTCTCCATTCTGATTCTTTCTAGCACTCTTACTTCTCTTTGCTCTTCATGACTATGACAAAAGTGGGCACTTGGATGGTCTGGAATTCATGAGACTGTTGAGTGAATTGGTGTCCCAACAGGCAAAAGGACAGCCTGCACCAGACATGGTAGGCAGATTTTATTCCTCAGTCCTCAGTCTCTGGTAAGGTTGGCACCAGTGGTGGGTTGCCCCCAGTTCGGACTGGTTCGCAAGAACCAGTAGTAAAACTGGCGGGAGGCCCCGCCCATCGCCCCGGATGTTGTCATCGGTGATCTGCGCATGCGCAGAAGCAAAGTGTGTGAGAGAGCAAAGTATACATGCGCATGCAAACCCATTGCGAACCAGTAGTAAAGGTAAGTAGAACCCACCCGATTGGCACCTTTGCCAACTCTTTTTTTTAGTAATAATTTTTATTAAACTACAATTAAAGATAAAAACTAATGCAAACTAAAAAAATAGAAAATGTAAAAAAGGAGAAACAAAATTAAAAACAAAATTAAAACTATAAGGATATAGAAGAGAACAATAAAAAAATATACTGTATGGACAAATGATTTCCCCCCTTCATCATAACAAGTATAAACAATTTTAGTAAGTTATCACCTTCTCTTAAGATACAATAAATGGTATCTTCCGATATTGATCTCTTACCTATAAACAAATCCTTAAAGTCTCATCATTCATTCCCGGTCCACAAACATCCAAGAAGTCCTACCAGAATTATTATTTGGTTATCTATTTTTTACTTTGATCAAATAAATCAACTGTATGTTCCTTCCTTTTACTTTTAACAATCACCATCTTTAATGCCTTCAAATAGTGTCATAGAACTTGATTTCTTATTATTTTGCTTTGTCACTTCTTACAAAACTATAATAGGTTTCTTGTAAACCTATTATAGCAAAGTTATTCAGGTCGTACTTTTGGTTATGTTATCTGTTTATTCCTTTTAATTATTAAGGTATCAGCTGGTGTCATCTGCATTTCTAGTGCAGCATCTTTTTCCATATCAGTTTTGTAGCCTCTCATCTTCAAATCCACTTACAAATCAGTCTCATAATTGTCTGGTAAAATTTCTTCCTCTTAAATAACATCTTTAAGTCTATAATGGCGCTCCCATGTGACTCCCCTCCTGCGCGAGCTGCACTGGCTCCCTGTGGTCTTCCGGGTGCGCTTCAAGGTCTTAGTTACCACCTTTAGAGCGCTCCATGGCTTAAGACCGGGGTACTTACGAGACCGCCTTCTGCCACCAATAGCCTCTCACCGCCCAGTACGCTCCCATAGAGAGGGGCTTCTCAGGGTGCCGTCAGCCAAACAGTGTCGACTGGCGGCCCCCAGGGGGAGAGCCTTTTCTGTGAGGGCACCCACCATCTGGAACGAGCTCCCCCCAGAGATACAGAAGATTCCGGATCTGCACACTTTCCGCCGTGCCCTCAAAACATTCCTGTTTCAGCAGGCCGGCCTGGCCTAACTTTCCCTTTATATTGCTTTTGATTTTATTTTAAACTGGGATGTCTTGAATTATCTAGAACCAGAGTGTTTAGTATATTTTAATTGGTTTTTTTTTAACGTTTGTATTACATGTATTTTTATCGTTCGCTGTTCACCGCCCTGAGTCCCTCAGGAATAGGGCGGTATATAAATTTAATAAATAAATAAATAAATAAATAATGGTAGACATTCTTAAAAGTAACTTTTGGATCCATTATTCACCAGTGTCCCTCAGTATGTCTTGTGTCTAAGTATTGCTCTATTCTAAATTAGTTCATCAAATGTAAATGTTCTTCTCCTTTAATTATAATCTTTAGTTCTTTCTGGGTCCCTCTGTAGTGTCCAACCTTCAAAGTCCCATCCTATCAAGGGTTATTTAGAATTCAAAATAACAGCATTTTCCCATGGGAAGGTTTGTTATAATTAATTTTAAAATCTTGTATCAAAACTATCTGAACTCTTAGTCCATTTGTGATTTTTCCAGAATCAATGTTCTAATCACCCTTTTGCTGTTTATTCCACATTTTTTAAAGCTTGTATTTAAAACTTTTGTGAAGGATTGAAGGAAACTCACCTGGTGCTATAAAACATGCCAAACTATTAGTTCCTAATAGCTGAAAAGTAGTTAAGTAATTTCCAAACATTATTATAGAAATAAGACTTAATGGACTTTGTGTCCACATAGGCTATATTACAGCTGTGAGCTTGATTGAAATCCCTCAACTCTCAACCACTCAAGTCATAAATCAACCATAAAACGTCAGTTCCTATATTCTACTTACAAGGAGCAGCTGTCTGGATTACAAATAGGCAATGTTATAATCTCTCCTTTATCCAAAGAGACTTCACACTGGCCAGAATTTGTTGCTTGGCAACCAATCCCTGCTGCAACGCCGTCCCACTTCTATTGGGATGACTAGTTCACCATGGATCCTCACCAGAAATCCTCATATTTTTACCAACTCCTGAGTAACACAAGAGTTGCCTCTAGCTGTTCTCACTCTTTGTCTGGTTGAACCTTATCTGAATCCCTGTATTCAGTAGATTTTTGTGTGTGTCCATTCTCAGAGATTGCTTGGGCAAGTCCCAGTAGTTTTCTTGGCAAGATTTTTCAGAAGTTCCTTCTTTCCTAGGGCTGAGTGAAAATCATTGGCCCAAGGTCACCCAGAAATCAGATTTACAGCCTGATGCTTTAACCACTACACCAAACTAGCTCTCTTTCAGTAGATAATAAGCTGCATGTCAACTCGCAAAGCATCCCTGGCCTGCTCTTGAGTTGCCATAGGCCAGGGGGGATGGGAAACCAGCGAAATGGCACAGCAGCCAAAGACAGATGCACATTCCACGCTTATCTCTCTCAAGGCTGTATCCCAGGCTAACATATAGCAGTGATGGGAGTGACCTCTACAACCCGGGAAATTGCTCCGTTGGTGAATGTGATTAATGACACACCCTGGGGGGAGGGGAGAAACTGGGTCATATTGGAGTGTAAATTATGTAGGGTCAGAGCTGGCTTCACTTGGGAATGTGCCACATGAACGTGCCGACATGTAGCTCCTAATAAACAACTGGATTTCTTTTAAAGCTTGGCTCAAGAGTCATGATTTAATTAGGGCATCCATAGGAACCCTGACACTGCAAATAGTGTACACCTGTTTCTATTCTAAAAGTATCTTGTTGGCCATGGTAGGAAAAGGAAGCTAAAGGAAACTTGGCCTGATCCAGCTCACTTTTTTTATCTTTCTTTTGTCTATGGAAGATGTCAGTTACATTGTTCCTTATCTTAAGTTTATATTGATAATTGGAAAGCTTTCTTGATTCCTTCTGCTATTCTCCTTTCAGGTAGTGCCAATGGTGGACAGTATCTTGGAGACTCAGGACTTCAACTGGGATGGTCTATTGGAGCCTTCAGAGTTGTTTCTTCCTCCCCGGCAGGGAGAGAAACCAAACTTCCTTACTGCTGTCAGTGAAGAAGATGGTCCAATCCTGTGGGCACTTCCTAAGCCAAATGAACCAGCCATTGGCTTCCCAACTCCCTCCGACCAACAAAGCAATGGGGACTCCCCACCTGCACCAGAAGTTCAGGAACAAGACATGATGGGTGACCAGTTGTGGAGTCTGGAGAAGCATGGGGGAGAGCTCGGCCAGGAAACCGCAGGAGACCCAGATCAACAAGGGAAAGAGATGCCTTCTGCTCCAGGAGATTGAAATACACCCTGTACAGGCTTTAGGTGATTAGCCAAGAAATGAGAACTGGAAGCCTTCAGGTCAATTTCAGAAATGGAATGCAGATAATCACCGCTTTCCAAACATTTTCTTCTGTGCAATCTGTTCTGGGTTTCCAAGTCTTCTCTTTACCAAAGCAAAACAGAATAGGACTCCCTGTTCAATCAGCTCTGCACTCTGTTATCTAAAGAGATCCCTTTTCCAGCTTTCAAGGGATACCTACTCCAAATCTAAAACTTGAGAAACAGAAGTCACTAAAAACTTCTCCTAACACAATGGCTCCACTTTCTCCTCAGTGCACCTGAGTACACCATTCAGAGTGACATGGAAGCCTCTTCCCTCCCTCCCTCCCCCAGTACCCAGGACCACGCAGCCTTTCCAGGAGGTGAGGCTACATAGGTAGGAAAGATTTCTCTATAAACTGAAAAGCCTGCCTCAGCAGGTTGTCTTCCTGAACAGTTTCTCTCTTCAGAGAGCAGGTTTCCGATTCTAGAGGGTCTATTTAGGGTCTCTTGCTCTGCCTTCCTCAGAAACTGCTGCAGAAACTGCTGCACAGAGACAGGAGAGAACTTACAACTATAATTTCCCAGTCTGGCCAAGGATTTATCTGTGCATTTCAGATTCTGAATGAAATTCTGATCACTCTCTCAGCAGAGAAAAGCCTACCCAACACTGCAGAAGGCATCACGTATGTCTTTTGCCATGGCATTTAAATTAAACTCCCCATCTCATAACAGTGACTTTGAAATTAAAACGAAAACCACAACCCATGATTTCCAAGTTTAAACTGGTAAATTGCAATCATGAAAGAGAACACATCAACAACAGCACAACTCACCCAGCCTCCTGGTCCAAATCCTAAGGAAACAGCCAGAGATGCGTATGCTTCTACTACACTTCTGCTTTTTCAAATCTGCCAATAAATCATCTTCAAATTGAATATGTTTCTGGACCATATAGGAAGAGGAATCTTAGCGGCTTAGAGAGGCAAGGAAGAACTTCCCTTTCAGGGTTAGGTGAGCTGATAATCCAGGGGTAGGTTCTACTTACCTTTACTACTGGTTTGCAATGGGAGTGTGTGTGCTCCCTTCGCTCGCTCGCACGGGCTTCTGCACATACACAGAAGCTTCTGCGCATGCGCAGATCACCCATGATGATGTCGTGGCGGGTGGGCGGAGCCTCCCACTGGTTTTACTACCGGTTCTATAGAACCGGACCGGACCGGGAGCAACCCATCGCTCTGATAATCATAGTATGTGGCAAAGAGGAAAACTTCAAGGACTGTCACATCAGATTAATCAACTGGGCAACTAGCTGTTTGTACTGTGTTCTCCCTCACATATCTTCAGCAGGAAGAGAAGTAGGCTCAGTTGTGGGGAGGGGTGTTTTGGTTGTTGTTGAGTGGCATGGATTAGCATTCTCCTTTTCTCTGTTAAGGTCTTTTAAATCGTTCCCAGTGTATCAAAGAGCAACAAGTGCATCAGCAGCATCTTAATTCCATGTCTTCTCTCATTCCTTCTGGTACTCCTGGATCTGGCTGGCTGAGGCACAGCCAATCCCTTTCCTTCGAAGCCCAGCTATGTATGTGTGTGCATACACATATGCGTGCATGCGCACACGCACACACACAAACCTTGACTGGAATTCCTTGTGTAATCAACCAGGAGCAATCAGCAGCTTCAAGTATTTTATTTATCTTCTAATGGTTATACAGCGAAACCTTGCTTCCTCCTGGCAAGAGACAGGAGCATCTGAGCCAGCTCAGCCAGACTGCATATGGAATGTGTGGCAGGTAGCTTGACATGTCTTCCCACCTGCAGGAGATGCCAGAGGAGCAGTGCCAGTGCCACTAGCAAATAGAACACCACCGTGAGAAATACAGTATTAGTCCATGGTCCAGTGAAATCCAGCAGGTACAGCTTTCATCATGTTGCTCACACGATCCCATCGTACCCGTGAACCCCACACTTCCGGCCTGCCACCTGGCATCCATAGGTTAATGCTGCAGGAAGTGTTTTTCCTGCCACAGAAAATGAGAGATCAGCTTAGCTTTAGGGCAGATGGGCATAATTGCTGTTCTTTAAAATACAGGAGATGGAAGGATGACGGTCAGGAGTTTCCTCGCCATTCAGATCTGCTTCTTGATACTATTCGGTAGTGGTTTGTTGTTCATCTTAAAAGTATTCTGTACAGAAGCAACTGCAAAGAGTTCTGCCATTAATGCTATACCTACAGGAAAATAAGAAGCACCCCGAACTTACCCTTGCTTAGAGCCAGGATCACAGCAGCGTTGAATGTGTCTCCAGCCCCCAGAGTGTCCACAACAGTTTCAGGGGAGAATGCATCTGAATGCACCAGCAGCCCATCTGGTCCCATTGCATCAGCTCCATATTCAGCCCAAGCACAGATCAAGGTGGCTCTAGAAATGGAATACAGAAACTAACCTATGTAGTGCTTTGGATTCATCAAATGAATAAATCCAAATTACTACACAAGCAGGCAAATGCTTGAATGTATTCCTTGTCTGCAATATTCCAAACCAGGAAAAAGTAAAGATGCTTCCAGGTGTTGCAGAAAGGTAGTATATTTTCACCCGTTTGCTCCATAGTATTTTGACGGGGCTGAATCCAAAGCACTGGATAGCACTAATAGAATCTTCCCTCCCTATTAACTTCCATACAAAACATTCTCTGTTCCAGTTATTTGGGACCTCAATAGCAAATCTGAAGGAGTGTAAGTTACTGCTAGAGACTTTGCCATATAACTGGGGAGGCTGACTCTGTTGATTATCCACCCATTCCAATAATGTGCCCGGGCAAGAAGCTGAACCTGTCTGGGCTTTCCTTTTAGCTCTCAAAAGGGAAGTCTCTGCAACTCAGCCTTTGGCCTAAACAGAAAGAAAGATAGAGGATAGAGCTTAAGGAAACACTAGATAGGAAGGTGTGATATAAATTCAATCAATAAAGTATTAAAAGAATTGTGCTTCTGATATCGGATTGCTAACTAAAGCTGCTGTAAAAGATAGTACCCTGGATTGTGCTATCACACGCAATAAGCATTTAATCTGATTTGGGGGTATTGTCTTGTAGCACCAATTCAACCATGATCAGTACAGTTCTGGCTTAGCATGGTATGAAGCCAGCCTATTGCAATGTGTTCAACAAGGCCCAGTTATACATGGTTTAGCACAGTCTGTGTATGACTTCAGTCTGAACTTAGCTGCTAAGAAATATCTCTAAAGTGCTGGAAAAGAGAATCATCTCCAAACCATGACTTGTGATTTGAGCTTTGAGGTTTCTTATATGACCTCTAAACGGCTCCCACTTTTGCCTCTGAGATTCTCTTCAGTCTGCTATTCTTATTTCACACCATCCCTAATAACTGGTGAAGGATCCAGATTTGTCCTCATGTTTTGGTTCCCTCCTACCCTGGTTTCAAACGCCCATAGAGCCCCTTCACAGCCTCAGGAGCCGAGTAGAATCCAAATGTCTTGGCCACATCTTTGCTGACAAAGACCTAGAAGAAGAAAACCACACAGTTACTTCTTTTTGACTGGGCCTAATGTAGTATCTCTGCGTGTTCAGATAATGAGTGCCTCAGAGTGCTATGTATGAAGAAAATGACTATGAGTCTCAAGAGCACTGGGGTGTATTCTGGCCAGATGTTTAGAGAATTTCACTTCACAGCTGTAGAAATCCCCCAGGAATATTGCTGTTTACCTCTGTGTGAACACAAAACTCATCTGCAGAAAATCTGGAAATGAGTGACTGAAACAGTACTATTGATTCAGAAAGTGAACTCAGAATCCTTAATAAGGATTCTAACAGGATTCTCCTGTGGCTATCTTCAGTAGCCACAGGAGGAGGAGGAGATGGCAAAATCTCTCAGATCTATCCTATGAGAGGAATTTAACTGATGGGCAGGTTGCTCTTCATCACTGTGCTTGCTTTCTTGACTAGCCATGGTTCCCACCTACATCAAGCCTTTACCTTTGACCCCTTACCACATCTCCATAGCAAAACAGCTGGTACAATTCTGGCCTGGTCTTTTCCACCTCCACAGATGTGGTCACTCGCTCAGATGGTGGGCAGGTTTGGTTATACTTTTCCACCTGTAGCAGCATTTTAACCTGTTCTGAAGCATTCCTACCCTGGAAGAAAATGCTACTATTAGTGACACAATCTGAAATGTCTGGATTTGATATTCCTGGAATTATTGATAGCCTTTGTGACTTTAGATGCCTTACCACTTATAGTAGTTGGGCCATTTGTTCCTGCTACTTCCAAAATAGATACCCAGCCACTTATGGTTTGGATAGTGGACTGCGGTGTGTTTGATGATCCAAGAAACTCTAGCGAGTATGAAATACTTTCTTTCTCAACAGTGAATAGGCACAGTTGGTATGTATTTTGAAAGTTTTGCATTAACTGTTCAGCCTATTGCCAGGTTCATCTCAAGTTTCTAGTTTTTTATTATAGGCTATGTTAACATAAAATACTTAACTTGGTCACCTCATTAACCTATTTTCTGAATTCACACAATGCACTGAACCATAAACCAGCCAACAAGATAGGTTCACACATAATTTACAGAACAATTTCATAAATCATCACATTGTGGAAACCCATGCTATGTGGTAAACATATGGTCTAATCCTAATCAAGTGTAATCATTTGTCCGATATATTACTCTTCGTTAAGATTAAATCATTCCTTTGAATTCGTTAAAAGTAGATATGAACACAGCCATAGTTTCTGCTTTTCCTTGCTCTTATTATTGAGTTATTGGCTTCACTGGGTATTTGGATTTTAGTTGTGATTACTATTTACTATATTAGATTACTATTTGTTTTATATTAAAACATCTCAAGTTTTCTTTCAGAGGTACCATTATACTGACTCAAACACAAAAATAGCATGCAGAAGATAGAAATTAGGGATAGGAGGGAAGAATGGAAAATTGACCCGAGTACAGAAATAGAGCAAGCCACCCATAGACAAATGCTCAAGATGGGCACAGTTCAAATTGCTACTGACAATTCACTGCCATGAAACATCACCTGCCTATGTGTGAAAGAGTGTCCACATATTATGGAAGGGTAGTAAGTCCGATCACCACCACCTTATCACATGGACAATTGAGATCAACCCTCTTTCCAGTCAAGGCCTTACCTCCCAATGGATCCACTTGTACTGAGACAGGTCAACTTTTTCAAAATCAGCAGCTGTCACATCTGGCAGATTGCTGCAATTGGGAGAATGGGAAGTGGGAAGAGGAAGACAAAAGTTTAATTAATGCAACAAACTAATTTCTCTTCCATCTTAAATCAGTGAAACGGTAAGCAAATACATTCATACATACATATTAAATAAAACAGGAAACAAAACACCTATTGACTTGTTAAGCTCAAAGTGTATCTGTGTAGCATCCTGGCTTTTTTTCGCACCAAACCAAATAATCTAGCCAATCCAAAGGGGACATGAATTGTTTTCTTATTGCTTGTCCCAAGTTTCCAATGAATAAATGTATTACCTCTGAATATGGTGGTTCAGTTATATGCAGAACTGATTTTGCAAGCTTAAAGTTAATTTCACCTCCTACTGGGAGCAATTTCAAAGTACTTTGGAGCTGCTTTGAGCTACACTTCCAAAGGCTTTAAGATGCACATGCAGCCATCCCATGTACAAATGTCTCTATAACTTCATTCCTTTTCCCCCAAATTTGACAAAAAGATATATGAAGCAATCTCTTGATAGATGTATCACGTACAATTAGTATGGAATTTATTTACTTTAGAACTGTACCTCGACATCTAACTGAACCATAATAAACTATAATATGCCAACCTCTTTCTTGGTTTCCATGATAACAATCTGAATTTGGAGCCATTGCTTGAGGTTAAATTGTAATGTACTGAGAATAAAGCAAGCAGACAGTATATACACATAAACTCTGAAATACATCATCACAGAAAACAATGGTGGCCATCAGTCTATACAGTGTTAAAAAATACAAAATAAACATGAGGAAAAAGGCTAATCTCAACTGCTTGCTAAGACTGCAGTAATTGCACATGTAGTCCTCAGTAACAGTGAGATTGACCTGCCTACCTTTGTTCTGCGTCTATGGACTGTCCTGGACTGTCCCTCCTTTCCTTAAGTTATTATGGCGGAAAAAGGATGCTTGACTAGAATTGAGTTTGATCCTCCATTCTCAACTTGTTCCTTTTATTTCATAGTTCCCTCACTTTGAAAACATTGTCTTAGCACTGACTAGGCTATACTCAGAAGCTTCATCTGGAGATATTCAGCATGGAAACGGATGACATTTAATTCTCAATCCTCATTTTTATGGATTAACTGTACCTGAAATGGATTAGGTTTTAATGATTAACCCACTAGCCTAGGAGACACAGAGACTGCTTTGATCAAAGGCCACAAGTATCACATTCAGAAAGATGACAAACTTGGGCCTTTTGCATGTCCCCAAATAATTAACTAGGCCTTGACACTCTATTGGTAATGAATGGGAGACAGAAAGCTGCACACTTCCCACCACTTGAGAAAAGCTAAGGTAAGGGGTGGGGTGGGGGGTGTCACATAAGCTTTTGCATATATTTTTTATTTGTTCTTTAATTCAATTTGTCTAGCCACCCATCTCAACAAGTGACTCTGAGTAATGAACAATTTTAAATGAAAAGCAATTTAACACCCAGTTACCCTATAGTAAGATGGGCGGCTAATAAATTTCATAAATAAATAAATTCCCATCACAAATATAAAAACTAAAATACACAGCAGGAAAATATCACAATTAACAGTTCCTAATACAGTCAGGAGACGAGAGGCTTCAGACACTTGGCTCTCCAAGCCAGGCGCAGAACCAGGACTTTAGGGCTTTATGAAAAGCCAGCAAGGCCCTGGAGGGAGAATATAGCCACAATATACAGCTTGGCTGTAGACACAAAACACACTTAATTTGGTCAGATAAGGACCAGTACATAGAAAGAGACAAACTTGGTATAGGTTACCCTCGGTTATTTAATTTATTTTATTTTTGTAGTTGTGCAGACCTAGCCTGTACGGATGCTGTTGTTGATTCTTGTATCCCCTCATGACTGATTTGTCCAGTCTACATCTCACCTGCTGTTGTCAAAAGCCCAGGTTCTTTCCTGCTGTGAGCTGGTGGACGTCACACTTGAAATTTCTCACTCTGTGAGCCAAAAAGCTTCTTGGGGAAGGGGAAGGTCACAAGATGACACAACCATATTTGGGAAGGATAATCAAGGATTAATATTGGCAGTGGTGATTGGCAGCAATCTGGACTAAATCAGCAATTTACCAAGAATTAATAATAAATCAGATTTTAATAGCTCATGCATGGATGCTTTTATTCCTCTCCCATTGGGTGGCACCTCTGGAGGAATTGGAGAGGCATTTTAAGTCCTATTTTGACCTGCTCAAGCAACTCTTATTTTCCCCAATAAATTGAAACAAGAGCTGTATTAATTCCTATGTGGTCCAAGAAATGAAGAATTGGCTATTCTATTTCTTAACAAAGCTATAACCATTACGGATGTGGTCCTGCTCTGAACATAGAGAGGGGAATCTATTCATTTACTGGATGTTGATTCTCTGATGAGGAGGGAGTAGTTTTAATGTTTTTAAAAGAACAAGTCAGGTTCTTTTGGGTATCAAGTTGACCCATAAGTGTAACCTAGTCAGGGAAAAAACATGCTAGAAGAAAGCAATGGGAAAGAATTGTTATACTCTTGAGTCTTTACTTTTCAAAATGTTTATTGCTTCAAAATTATAATAAAAGGTAAGTCAGCCAATGTGACTCTGGATTGCTTGGTTATTCAGCCAGACTATCTATTAGGTGATACCCATTTCTCTCAGAATCAGGAATCTCAATCTATAAAATGGAATCAAGCTATCAGGCAAAGAAAAGTTCAGGCAATGGCACCCTGCTTACTGCATGCAAAGCAGAGTTTCTCCTTACAAACACACAATAAAAACAAGTGACTGTATTTAGAATCAGCTAGCACTAACTTCAGTATGATTCTTTAATGGCTTAGCATATTGTACAAATCTGCTATATTTGGTTAGTTTACAATACAGTGCATTGTGTCAATCCATGGGTTGAAAATAGGTTGATTCAGTAATCTGGTTAAGTGATGCATGAATGTTGTGTAGGTGTTAAAGCCTTGCTAGACAAAAAAGTCAAGTTATTAATATTTGATAACCAGCTTGATAATTATTCCTTATGCACTTTGGAAGTACAAAGTGCTTTTTAATTTATATCCATGTGGTTATCAAGTAATTATGAGATTAATAATTAATATTAGCAAATAATAATTAGTAATAGAGAGGAAGGAAGAAAACATTGTACATACATACAATCCCACCAGGCTATCCTTTATTGTGGTAAGCAACATTACACAAAATTTAGAAAAGAAGTAAGGAATAGTAAGGCAACACTCTTAAAGGCATGAGATTAAGAAAATAAAAGGAATTATAAGTAAATCTAGTTTTCACCAACATCATTCTCAATACCTCTCCAGACCTGCTTTAAATTGACTATTTTCTAAACATTCCATTTATTTTCATGCATATTTTATTTCCACTTCACTGCACTCGGTACTCAACTTTCAACATCGTATTTGCTCAAAATTCTATATTGAAGTCCTATTCTTTGTATTTTACAACAAGAAACATATAGTACATTCAGTTTCTGGCACCTACTTCTTTCAATGATCTTTTGAGGGGGGAAAATCTGGTTTGCACATCATTTGTCCACCATAAAGTTGCATTGCATCTGTGAAATTATGCACCCTGATATTACTCATACTTTTTCTAACAGAATTCTACCTAATTCTTACTAATATGTTAACACACTTGTATCTTTTTGCATTGTTCATTCTTGTTATCTTTCCTTTTAGCTAGAGTAACAGTAACAGCATGCTTCCCATCTGAAGGCTCAGTAATAGTCTTCCAACACATTAAATAAACTACTGTACAATAATTCCATAGATAAAATAGTTACAATAATCTACAACTACACACTATTTCCCAACATTCTTGCAGGATTAATAACTACTTAATCATTAATATGTTCTTGGACACTAGCTTTTATAGCATACAACTCTCCAAAATACTTTCAAAATTTTCCTAATTATATTTTCATCCCAAATCATTTTATCATTTCAATTTCATAACCACTCACATTGTTGGAAGGTCCTTGTTTAGTTCTCTTTGCTTACTGCACTTCCAAAATTATTACTGCACTTCCAATTATTATTTCCATACAAATTGCTTAATAACATGTCTCTTTTCATTGTAACTGTTCCTTGTTCTCTTCAACTATATTCTTTGTGATTATTCTTCCCCATGCAGCATCTTACTCTCATTCAAATTTTTGAGCAGTCTTTGTCTTATACGCATCTATTTCTCATCAGTAGCCTTGTTCATCACTCTGCTAAACATCCTTTTTCATATTTTTCATTTTATACTTCCCATTCTTTATACTGGGCAAGATCTTCAAGCAGATTTTAAACATCATGCCTATAAGCACTTAGCAGGAGTGCAAGAATTAATAGCAGCCAGCATGAGCTTGTCATAAACAAGATTAACCTTATCTCCTTTTCTCACAGAATTACCCCATTTCTCACATTTGCTTAATAGATCTGGCCATCAGGATTCCATCCTCATGATATTCTCATTAATAAAATGGTATAATATGGGCTAGATGACGCAACTATTAACCCGGTAATTACACCCCAGTAGTACTCATAACCAGCTCCCAATCAGCTTGGAGAGTAGTATCAAGTGGAATGCCATGCAGCTATTTCCTGAGGCCTTTACCATTTTTATTAATAACTTGGATGAAAGGGGAGAAAGAGCAGTTTAGAAGAGAAAGAAAGATATGAAAATCTAGACAGGCTTGAACCATAAACAAACAATGCAATTTTATGAACCTGCTTCTCCACTGTGTATGTGCAAGCAGCTAAAATAGGAAGCTAGGAAGGGCCTATTAAACCATTTACGGTAATAGTACAGTATAGTATAGTATAGTATAGTATAGTATAATATAGTATAGTATAGTACAGTACAATACAGAACAGAACAGAACAGAATTCTTTATTGGCCAAGTGTGATTGGACACACAAGAAATTTGTCTTGGTGCATAAGCTCACAGTGTACATAAAAGAAAAAAAACATTCATCAAGAATCATAAGGTACAAAACTTAATGACAGTCATAGGGAAGCAGTCAATATAAATCTTAAGAATACCAGCAACAAGGTTACAGTCATACAGTCATAAGTGGGAGGAGATGAGTGATAGGAACGATGAGAAGATTAATAGTAATGCAGACCTAGTGAATAGTTTGACAGTGTTGAGGGAATTATTTGTTTAGCAGAGTGATGGCATTTGGGGAAAAAAACTGTTCTTGTGTCTAGTTGTTCTGGTGTGCAGTGCTCTATAGCGTCATTTTGAAGGTAGGAGTTGAAACAGTTTATGTCTGTTTATTATACTATTCTAGTATAAACATAGTCCTAGTTATATTTTTTGCAATCTCTTCCTGAAATAAACAGTTGCTGTAGCAGGCCAAATCCTCACCCACAACACACAGTAATCAAGGCCACTTGGTCTCTACTGGGGTTGCTGGGGGTCCTTTTGTGCCACCCATTGGTCGGGCGGGGGGAGAGTTAGGAGGCAGCAGAGCCGAAGTGGGCCAGGTCTTACGTGTCATAAAGAGTAACTGTCCGAGAACCGTTGCGGCAATTGATGAGGCAGCAGGCACATGGTGTCTCCCCCTGACTCTGCCAGACCAAGTGGGCAACTTCCACTTTGCGCCGTTGGAAGTCAGACAAGATGAAGCTTGGGGCCAGGGAAGAGGAGAGAGAGAGAAAACATTAGACTTCACTGCGAGGAATGTTCAACCTACGCACCTAGCAGCGTGCAGGATCGTGCGGGTGCCTGTGGCTGAGTTGCTGATCACTGTCGAAATGGGAAAGCTGCATGCCAGATGCAAAGCCACATGGGTGAGATCCACCTCATAGCGTCGGAAATCATCGCGGATGAAGCTGGGAGGGCAGAAAACATGAGCATCTTCTTGGGGGTGAGGTTCTCTGTCAGGTGGAATAGAAGGCAGATGCTCCCAAGCTTCTCTTCAAGATAGCAGGGCCATTATGGCCACTTGGCAAAGGTTGTCAGTGGGCTAGAAGCTGCGAGGACAGAGGGAGGTAACTGTCTGAAGAAAGCAGCTAAAAAGAACTCTGCAGTTTGGAAGCCGAGAGCTCTGATACCCTCAGTGCTTAGTACTTATTTTAAAAAATCTCATTACATTTACTCCGGAGCTCTGTTCCCTGAAGCATATGCTGCTCTGGAGTCAAGAGACAGAATTTATGCTATAGTAAGCAGACAAAATGGGAATAGAATGGTCCTTGATTTGCCTCAGATCAGTTCCATAAAAAGTCTGTTTCCTGAAAGCAAAATATCATAAATTTAGAGCTTGAAAATATAGACTATCTTCACCAACTTGCTTCACCAATTCACTTCAGGATCTAGCAGATGCATTTACATAATATGCCAAGTTTGCTTCATGATTGTTTTGATTAGTTATTTTGTGGCTTAGTGTGTGTGGGGGTGACCTCATCTGTGTCATTAGTGTGTTTCAATGTATTATGTGAGCCTAAAAGATTAATTCAGTACCCAGATTGTGCGAATCTATCCATAAAAATCTGACTCCCAAAAATAATTTAAATAAAATAATCAAAAGTAAGATTATAGTTTTCATGTGTTTCCTATCTAAAAACAGGTAGAAAATTGTGCCATTAATTTCAGTAATCATGGTTGGAATCAACTTCAAGGGCCATAAAAATGAAACTCAGGGACGACATGAAATTTGCAACTGCAAATTCCACATCTCTCAAACATGGAAAGTTTAGTGTAATATAAAATATAAGGTCAGGTGATAATAAAATTAATAGTCTGTGACTATTTACTTACATAAACACACACACACAGATACTTATAGACATACATAATGGCCATTTCTTAGTACTGGGTGCCAGTGATAAGATAATCATGATAGCCTCACTTAGTTAATTAACCATTATCTTTGTTCTTCCAACAGTTTCTGTCCCAGTGCAAGTGTTAATTAACTTAGCAATGCTAGAATAATTCTGTGCAATTGCCAATTACTGACAATCTGGATGGTCATTGTGTTTGTATCGCAAGTAATTTAAGCTTTAATTAAGTTATCAGACCATACGTTTTGCCTTTCCTTAACTGTTTACTCCCTGTTTCTATTTTTTCTATCCACACCTCAGAAAGACTGGTTAATTGAAAGTAATAATTTATACATGAAGTAGAATATAGTTCACAGAAACTTCTATTATACTGCATTTCTTTGCTGTAGTCTTAGGCATGCCTATTTAGGAATAAGAGCTAATTACTCTTTCTTTGAGCAGGCATGTCGGATTACTCTATTATTAACTAAGAATTTTGTAAGACTTATTCATTGTACATAACAATATGATTAGTCTTTAAGTATCACAAGATTCCTTGTTGAAATTAATTATTTTAAGGAAAGAGATTCTTTTGTAAAAATAAGGTAAAGGTTCCACTCGCACACATGTGCTAGTCGTTCCCAACTCTAGGGTGCGGTGCTCATCTCCGTTTCAAAGCCGAAAAGCCAGCACTGTCCGAAGACGTCTCCGTCAGTGGTGGGTGGGTTCCTCCCGGTTCCGCTCGATTCTGCTGAGCCGGTAGCAGTGACGATATGACGTCACCGAACCGGTTCTGCCCACCCTGCCTCCAGCCCCCCCACCCCCACTTACCTTTTATTTGGCCCCACCCCCAATCTATTGCTGCCTCCTGAGTCCCAGCTGATGGCTAGAGGAAAAAAAACTGTTTAAACTCTTGCACAGGGCTTCAAAGGGCCGCCCTACAGCTGATCAGTGTTAAAAGAAAACAAATGAGTAGATCGGTGCCTGCAAAAATAAATGGGTAGACCAGTGCAAAAATAAATAGGTAGATCGGTACAGCTCTGCAAGCAGTTAAAAGCCTGGTAGACCAGTACCTCTGCTAAATCCTAAATAATTGTCACGTGATCGTCAAGCCACGCCCACAAAATAAGCCACGCCCACAGAACCGGTAGTAAAAAAATTTAGAACCCACCCCTGGTCTCCGTGGTCATGTGGCCGGCATAACTAAACACCAAAAGCGCATGGAACGCTGTTACCTTCCCACCAAAGGTGGTCCCTATTTTTCTACTTGCAGTTTTTATGTGCTTTTGAACTGCTAGGTTGGAAGAAGCTGGGACAAGTAACAGGAGCTCACCCCGTTACACGGCACTAGGGATTCGAACCGCTGAACTGCCAACCTTTCAATTAACAAGCTCAGTGTCTTAGCCACTGAGGCACTGCGTCTTTGTAAAAATAGAACAATATTAATGAAAATAAGTTATTTTAGAAGCAGAGGCAGAAACATGCCTGGCATCTGTGTTTGAATCTCATGCCAAGTCTGATTTGTTGATCATCTGACTTATCACCAGCACATGATAGACTTTTATTCCAAGGACATGGCTTGGAACATCCCAGCTTGGAAGAGAAACAAAGTTAAATGAGAAAACAAAAATAAATAAAGACAAAAATCAGGGAGATAGTCAGGGAAATTTTTATCAGGGAGATTTTTGTTAGAGCCAGAAGAAAACTAGTCCACCATCACACTGAAATGAATCCCTGCAGCTTGATTTGAACCTTATTTGAAATAATAGAAATCATTGAATTAACCCATATTCAGGGTTATACCAGCAACACAATGAACTAGAAGCTAAATGGATTGCATTCACACAACTTGCTGAGCAAGATTTTAAAGTAATTAACTTTAATGTGAATCCATCCCCAAGTCTTTATGTATCTTGGTTTAACATGTTAAATGAACTCTGACATTGTGTGAACTTTATGGTCACTTCATAACAGAGTACATATTGGTATATCAGTGTCTCCTTTCTGTCACAAACAAATAACAGCCCAGTTTAGATTTGCACAACATGTGCAGTTTGTTTACCGAATTAATCCAATTCTCTTGATTTGCACAATACTTTAAACTATAAATGACTAGGTTTATTTTTTAAAAAAATTAAGCCACAAAATAGCCCACAAAACTTAGCGTGTTGTGAAAACAGAGTCCACCTATGATGCAAATCCATTACAGCTTTCTCAATTCCAGGCAAGGAGCCACATCAGTGGACAAAGAAAAAAAAAATCTGCAAGACACTTTAGATTGGACACTGAGAAGGAGTGAACATTTGTACACTGTTGGGCCAGTCACTTTGTCTCAACCCTAGAAAGGAGGTAATGGCAAACCATTTGCCAAGAAAACTGGAGGTTCTTCTCTAGGCAGTCTCTGGACATGATTGAATTGTGGGGAGTGTGGGGGAGGAGGGAAGTGTAGTAAAATGGGATATACCTGTAAGTGCATAAAATAAGTATGTTTTTCACGGAGACACACACATCTGCCCTTCCCCTTCTGGTTCTCAGTGTGCAGGTGGGGGTGGGGGGGGTGGGGGTGGATGTTAGTCACAACCCCCTGTCTGTATTCAGCTGGCACTTACTTTGCAGCATGACCAGGAGCTAACGACCCCATAAAAGCACAAGGGGCTCCCAACAGGGCCAGAACGGTACAGGTGTTGGAGGCGTTCCCTCCACGTTGCCAGCGCTGCGACAAACATCTGGAAAGAAGCACAGCCAACAGCAGCCTCAGCGTCCCGTTCTGACAGGCCCATTTGGGCAGCCCAAAGTTATCCGGGACTCCGGCAAAGGGACCGAATTGAGCCGCAACATTTCAGGGCTTTGCATTTATGGCAAGTCTCTTCCAAGGAGCCCTCAGATCACGAAACGGACAGAAAGGCTGCTTCGGGACGCAAAGGCAACACTTCCACTCTGCCTCCCCACCCCAGGAACCTGTTCCGCCAGCTACGAGTGTTGTGAGCCCCAGCCTCGAAATTTCCCCCAAGTGCAAGCTGGTTCCTGCTTATCACAGGGCTTTGGAACACGGAACTGGACAGAGCGGAAAGCTCTTCTCCTGCGGCACGGACCAGAACGGGTTAGCTGCTAGCAACACCCCCAACCCCCCCCCCCCCCACATCTTTCTTCTCCTCCGCAGTCTGCACCCAGCCGTGTCTCTCATTGCTAGGCCTTTGCTGAGGTGAGATGGGCGGGAAGCAGCAGCGGTACCTGGTGTCCGAATCCTCCTCCGGATAATTGTCCACCACGCTGATTATATCCAGGCACACAAGTCCGATGCACAAAATACGCTTCTCCTCCATGGGTCCAAGTGGGCGTCTTCCTGGGCTCCTGTCACTCTACTCGACGTTGGTCCCAGCCGGGGCTCTGCGCTCTTTTCTCTTCTGCTGATCTCACCCCCAGGATCGGCGGACGCCTCCGCTCGCTCCAGGCACTCGCACAGCCATTGGCAGGAGCGCATGACAGCCGGTTCCGATTGGCTCCCTCCACGGTATGCAAATCAACCCTACCCTTTGGTTCAAAGTGAGCTCTTTCCCTCTTTTTCATAAGGATTTCTCCTCCCAGCCCTGCCGCCCAGGAAGCACGGCTGCCAGTCTGGCGGGAGCCCCGTCCAGTGCCACCTACGTACCCTTTTCATCTTTGGAGCTCAACGTCCCATTGACGCTGAGCTCGGTCGCTGAACTCCCGGCGTAGGAAGTAAGGCCGGCCTGAATCGTACCTGCCTATAACACGAATAGGACAGGACAGGACAGGACAGGACAGAATTAGAATTAGAATTAGAATTAGAATTAGAATTAGAATTAGAATTAGAATTAGAATTAGAATTAGAAATAGGAGCCTTGGTAGTACAGTGGTTTAATGCACCCTGTTATTAACACAGCTGCCTGCAATTTCTGCAGGTTCGAATCTCACCAGGCTCAAGGTTGACTCAGCCTTCCATCCTTTCAAAGGTAGGTGAAATGAGGATCCAGTTTGTGGGGGCAATAAGCTGACTTTGTATAATTATACAAAAGTATGAAGGATATTGCTTAACACATTGTAAGCCACCCTGAGTCTCCAGAGAAGGGCGGCATATAAATCAAATTTAAAAAAAAAAAAAAAAATAGAGCCTGGTGGCTCAGCAGACTGATAGCATTGCGATTAACACCAGCTGCCTGCAATTACTGTAAGTTCGAATCTCACCAGGCTCAAGGTTGACTCAGCCTTCCATCCTTTCTAAGGTAGGTTAAATGAGGACCCAGTTTGTGGGGGCAATAAGCTGACTTTGTATAAATATACAAAAGTATGAAGGCTATTGCTTAGCACATTGTAAGCCGCCCTGAGTCTCCAGAGAAGGGCGGCATATAAATCAAATTAAAAAAAAAAATAGAAATAGAAATAGAATTTTAGTCGAGACCTTGGAGGTCTTCTAGTCCAGCCCCCGGCTCTCCTGGCAGGAGAACCTGTACTATTTCAGATAAGTGACTGTCTAGTCTTTTCTTAAAAACCCCCAGTGATGGAGTGCCCACAATTTCTAGAACTGCTTTCTAGAATGATATCTAGAACTGCTGTTCGGGGGGGGGGGAACTTGGGCAGTCCCATTGCAATTGAAAAGGTTACTTTCACACGACACTAGTTATTGAATATTAACATGCTTTTGAGATGGTACAATAGATTAATCATAAAGAAGCTGGGTTTACTCGATAGGCTAAATTGCAGAAAACCAAACCAGGGGTGGCATGAGGTGAGAATGCATTCCCTAACTGAATGCAATTGTGGATTGTACAAATGGTGGTTCTATGCATGGCTTGCCCTGGTTGGCTACTTTGTGAAAGTTTTGACCCAGATCACAGGCTACGATAAAGCAAGAGTTCGAAAGAAGGAATACATATCCAGTCAAGCAATGTCAGGGTCCGGGATCTATTCCAATTTCAGTGGTTTAAAAACAACAACAACCTCTTCTACCTTATTTCAGAGGTTTCTGGGTCTAAAAACAAGCCTGATTTGAATTACAGAAATTGCAGAAAAGTGGGATGGCACTTCTTCACAGCTGACACTCCAGCAAGAAGCCTTCTATTTTGCTGTTTGTTTCCTTTCATGTGAATCTAAATGTAAATGCTTTCCAGGGACCAATATCCATGGGAGATTTGGAGCATAATGGACATCCTGTTCTGCTCCTTCTACTATACTGGTCTCAGCCATGGTTAAGCCTTCTCTCCTCTCCTGCTGATCTCATTCCAGAAAAAGAACTGAAAGTTAATGTAACCATCACAATCTTCATTAAATGCTTGCAGGAGTAAACATGCAGTGCTCCCTGGGACAGACACCAGGTATGTATGCAATGTTCTGGCATGGCATGTCTGCGCAGGGGGTGAGTTTGTAAAGCTTTTATAGCCAACGCACTGAGCATTCTTTAATCAAAGGTGGAAAACAGACTGTCTACTAAAAATCTGTGGGAAACTAACTTATCAGCCTGTGAAATGGCTTCCCTCTCTGCACCTGTCATTTATCTCCCCAGGTACATCCCATTATGCGTCTACTATTTTTTATTCTAAAAGCAGATGCAGTGATGAAATATGGCCCTAGTTTGATCCAGGTACACTGATGCAAGGTGAATGTGTAGACTTGAACAAATGAATATAACAAACAGATTATTTCAGTTCCTTTTTGCTGCAGCAGACAAAAACATTTGTTCCCATATAAGCAATGACAGCTGAAAATGTGCCTCTCGGGCTGTTTTCTCCCCACATGCTTGTTTTGAATGGCAGGAGAGATATCCAGCTCAAGGTGATTTAGTATTCTTCGCTTTGAAGATTAACAGCTGCACATGCTCTGGAAAGAAGAAAGAGAAGCAACCCTGGAGCCCTCATGAAAATTGGAAAAGGGGCAGAACTTCTCCAGAAGATCTTGCAGGTTTCCTTGTGAGTTATCTGCTCACAAAGTAAATGTGGCCAAGGTACTACTATCAATGTTTTGTTTGATTTAGTTACACCAATAAACGTATTGAAGCTAGCTTTATTGTTAAAAAAAACTACTACTCTATTGGCAGTTGTTCTCTAAAGCTGGAGATATAAGCCATTCCTCCACTGTTGATTTATAGTGTTTTCGCATACACTGAAATGATATAAGCCCTGTCTTCATTTTCTTTTATTATTTTTGGCACAATGATGGTTGGGTGACTCTAGGAGATGCTATAAATTGCTAGTGGGAAAATGAATAGAAAGATCCTTTCTCTGATAAAAAATCAACTGGCTGAGAAAAGGTCTCCTTACACTCTGCAGGTAAAATATGTGTCTCACCTCTCAGTTTGATCCCTACTTCCATCGTCTACTTCCATACGTTGTGCTCTTGCTAATAAGGCAGTTGCATAGGGGACCTCTCTGGGAGGTTGTAATGTTCAACGCTATTTCCAAACAACCATTTTTAGTTGCAGTCAACTGAAATGATGCAGAACCTGTACCAGGAATTTCCCTGTCAATCTTAGCAAATAGTGGAGCCAGAATTTGGTCCTGAATTAGTTGTCAGACAGCATACATTAGCAAGTAAAGGAGTCTTAAGTAGGCCACAGAGTATTACCTCTGGCACATTTTTCTTTAGAGGCAGTTACTTTAAAAGTGCATTACAAATGTTCAGGCAAGAGACTCGGTCTGAGAGGAGGGGCATAGATTTCTTTTTAGTACAAGATTACTGTAGTTAACAGTCAAGAAGGATTGACAGTAAATAATAATAGCAATAGCACTTATATACCACTTCATAATGTTTTACAGCACTCCCTAAGCTGTTTAGAAATTCACCATATTGCCTCCAACAATCTGGATCCTCATTTTACTGACCTTGGAAGGCTGGAAGGCTGAGTCAACCTTGAGTTGGTCAGGATCAAACTCTTGGCAGTGAGCAGAGTTAGCCTGCAATGCTGCATTCTATCCACCATGTGGTGCATCTAAATCAGATGCTTCTGTAGCTATTGATCTTTATAGTTATTTTTGTATCCTGAATCATAGAGGTCAGGACTACAAAGTACTTCAATTTTAAAATCAAAAAGATGTATTGAAGCATGCAAGGTTGTAAGAATAATACGTGTCCATCCTTTTCCCAGGAGCAAAAGTACCAATTACAAGCTACATTGCTTATGCTTTCATGAGAGCTGGTGTGGTCGAGAGGCTAAGGTTACTAAGGTTCACTAGAAATCAGACTCCTGCCTTAGCCACAAAACTGGCTGATTGTCTTTGGACCAGTCACATACTCTCATCCCATGATATCAGCCTTGGTTGACAAGCCAAAAAGTCAAATTCTTATCACAAGCAAAGGATCAACACTAGGTTCATCCAAAAAAGTGGACCCTGCACTTGTAGAAAAATGCTACGAAGAAAAAATGTTTATGGCTAGCCTTATCAGGATGTCCCTGAACAGGAAGAAAGTCAAGAAAGATCTCCAAGAATCTGGTCAAAATCCTAAAATGGGATTTAGTGAAATGAGTCCAACTGAATAGGATGATCAACTATTGCAAACAGTTCTATAGATGTAATACCTTATGTGGATCAATTAAGAACAGCTTTTCAAATTAGTTCTTTGCAGGACGTATGAGATGTCCATCTCTGACATAGATTTTAAAGTCATTATAATGTAATAGTGTCATTCTTGATGTGTCACAATGGTGAAAATAAAGAAAGGATTTATATTGCCATAAAATGATTGGATGACACAATAAAATGGCATAAATTAGTAGTCGAGGAAATGGCCTTTCTTTGTTAGGAGGAAACCCATCACAGTTTGTATTGGTGTGTGTTGAGAGGATTTTTTGGGAGGGCAATTTGGATCCCATTCGACAATATTCCCTTAGTCTTTATGAAAAGCTAACATGGTCAAGGCATCCTGGTCTCCAGAGGGATACTGTTCCATAGGAATGATACTGCTACAGAGGTCCAACAAGTTGACATTGATGGAAAGGACCTGGAACATGGGTTTTAATTAGAGTTTAATAGGGTTTGGCATAAAGCTTTGACCCAAATGGGGCTCTTAATGTTGAGTAACAGTGATCTGGGGCAGCCCAGGAGATCATGGCAACCATGGCAACTAGAGATCTGTCCCAAATTATTAAGGGCCTGATACATACTGGAGGTTACACATTCGTTTTGGGATTTTGTTTTGTTTTTTTGCCTTGGGGCAGTTGTGATGAAATCTAGAGGATGTCACTATCAGTTCTTTGTCATGGCCAGATCACTTTTTGATTTACTACTGCTATCCTCTGCAGGAGGATAGAACCTTATCCATCCCAGATCCTAATGGATCCAGAAGGGTTCTATAGCATCGGGACTCGATTGGTTGCACTTATTAATGATGATAAGGAAACTGGGAGCTGAGACGTGGTTGTCCTGCCACCCTGACCTTCCTAGATCTCAGCAGCTTTTGATATCATCAATGATAGTATCCTTATGGACCCATTGTAGGAATTTGGAAGGGAGACATGATGTTGAGGTGGTTCCCCTACCTTCTCCATTGTCAGTTTTAATTTTAATCATATTGGTAGGAGGATGGAAGTTGGGCCCAGAGCCCCTGATTTGCAGCATGTCTCAAGGCTCACTTTCCCCCCGCTCCTATGTAATACCAATATGACGTTGTTGGGGAAGGTCTTCCATTCATTTGGAGTCAGGTATCATCAGAATGCAGATGATATCCTGTTGCATATCTTGTCCCTGAGCAACTAAGCCATGTGGTCAAAGTCTTGTCCCAGTGCTGGGAGGTGGTTGGGGAGTTTGGTTGTTAATGGGGAAGAACCAGGGGTGAAATGCTCCCGGTTCGGACTGGCTCGGGCGAGTAGGTAGCGATGGCGGCGGGCAGTTCGGAGAACCGGTAGCAAAAATCCCTGCCCCTGCCCCCATTCCCAGCTGAGCCGCGTGATCATCAGATCCTTTTTTTTCTTTTAAATGGCTCTGACGATCCAAGCTCTCAGGCAACTCAGCTGGGATCGTCAGAGCCTTTTGAAAGCATTTTTTTACATGATTTTACATGTAAAAAATGGTTTTAAAAATAAAATAAAAAATTGGCCACGCCCACCCAGTCACATTACCCACCACCACCAAGCCACGCCCACAGAACCGGTAGTAACAAATTTTAGATTTCACCCCTGGGAAGAACTCTTAATTTGTGATGGAATGTGAACCTGGAGAAGCTGTGGAGGGGAGCTATCCCAGGGAGAAGGCAGTATATTCCAAAGAGAACTCCAAATTAAAAGATTGGGCAATCCTGAATTGGATGGGGGAAAGGGAAAGAGGTTCAGGGTAGCCACAGCCTGGAATCTCCCAGGATATATCTATTAGGGTAGGGGTTTGGCAAGATTCTGTCCATTAGGTGGAAGCAAGTGAAAGATTGGACTTGGCTGGATTTCATAATGTCATTTTTGAGTTTGGGCCTGACACAATCCTAGCAAGACTGAGCAGTTGTGCATCTTTGTCTGTCAGGTTCTATTGACTTTTCACTTTTGGCTTTGAATGGGGCTAGACTACCCCACTCTGGATTGGGGGCAGGGGTGGGTTCTATTTACTACCGGTTCGCAGCGGGAACGCACGCACTCCCTCGCTTCGCATGCACAGATGACCCATGACGACGTTGTGGCAGGTGGGTGGAGCCTCCTGTCAGTTTTACTATTGGTTCTATAGAACCGAACAGAACCGGGAGCAACCCACCACTGATTGGGGGTCTTCCTGAATTCTCAGCTCTGGTTGACAAGAAATTTACACGGAGGCCAAGGATTCAATTTGTGTGTCAACTGTGCCTTTTGCTGGATTGAGAGATCCTCGTGATCACTCATGCCTTGGTCATTTTGTGGGTAGACTGTTGCAATATGTTCTCTATGGGTTTAGCCTTGAAGGTAGTTGTCTTGTGAGGGAGATGGCAGCATATAAATTTAATAAAAACATGAATAAATTATAAGATCATTTGGAATCTTAGCTGGTCCAGAATATAGCAGACAAGCAGTGATGGGCAAGTCTCATGTGTCCATATAATAGCCCTGTTCTGTGAGCTACATTAGTTGCTAGTTGGCTTCCAAGTGCAATTCAAGATACAGCAAAAAAGTTGAACTATCAGAAAGATCTCCTGTCTACCATAGTATCTGCTGTTTCAGTTCAGTCCAACAGAGTCAGTTTGTTTAGATCACATCAATTCTATAATGTCATCAAGCAGCACCCAAGGAAATGGATTTTCTTTGTCCCATATCTGCCCCTTTGAAACAGTATTTGCCCCAAAGATCCATATAGCCCCCACCTTGCCTCCCTTCAAATGATCTTTAAAAAACTGTTATATTTTGTTTTTTTTTCTTCAAGCCTTGAATTAGGATGTTTCAGGCTGGTCCCTTTTAACTGAGTAGGTGTTGATGTGGAAATATGTTGCTCCTCAGATTATTACTGCTTTTTATATCATGTTTTTCTTTTAACTTTATGAAGCTCAGTAGTTGTTTTGGAATTGGGTGACCTAGAAATTTAACAAACAAACAAACAAACAAAAACGCTACCCCATTTCTTTTTTCTATGTCTGGTTCAATTGGCTTCCTTGAAGCTTTGCTGCCAGAGATTTCTATTGAACCAAGATAAGTTGTTGTCTGTTAAGAGGATACTGATAAGCATTGACCTCAGAGAATTCTGGCTTTAAAATTAAGCAGGTCAGGATAGGAAAATTAGGCCACTCATTGAACAAATCTTATAGAGCGTCTTGAAGTTTGTTATGATGTATTTCTTAGTTTATACAATCATACTAAAACACAATTTATAAACCATAATGAGATGGCTCATGAAATAGGTTAATTAAAAACTAAACAGACTACATCAAGGCTTCTTGCAGGAAAAGGCAGCTTTTCTGCAACCATAAGTCACATTTTGCATTACAATAAAATCAACCTTTGGGAATTACAGCAGATGTTACCAATACAACGAACTGCTGAAATTGAAAAAAAGTTGATACTAGATTGAGACACGTGACTATCAGAAAGCTAGAAAAACAAATTCCACAAATTCTAGTTAAGGAAACGTTAGAATATTTTTATACCTAATAAAGGCTAGTGTATTACTGGGGCATAGGTTTACCACAAAAGGTCCAAAATTTCTTCTAGTAAATCCTTCTCTTTTAAAGACAAGCCACTATTTATAGCAAAATTTAATATGTTTCAGGATTCATATCAAGTTGGAAAAACATTTCATCTGATCCATCTATGAAGAATTTAGTAAAGTCATTTCATAGCATCCCTTTCTGTGGTTCAAAACTTGACTGTCAACAGCTGTGCTCTTATTTCTTTTTCTCAGCAATCAGCCTGTATAAACACATTCTCATGTTAACATGCTGGATGGCATACAAAATAAATTGTTAATCTATATTTGCTTTGAATGTTTCATAATTTGACATCTTATTACAGTGTTGGTGAACCTTTTTGGCACCGAGTGCCCAAACCAGAATGTGTGCAGGCACGCTGAAGCACCGGAAACCCGGAGACCAGTTGGCCAGAGCACATGCACACGCTGGAAACCAGAAGAGCAGCTGGCAACAGCGTGTGTGCCCACAGAGAGGGCTCTGTGTGCCACCTCTGGCACACATGCCATAGGTTCACCATCATGGTCTTATTATGTCTTGTCCCTGTTTACTTGAGAGCTTGTCCAGTTCGCAAAAGTCTTATCAGTTCCTTTGTATGTTAAGAAGGTCAATGTTTCTGAGTTCTCATCTTTCCTTAGCTAAGATGAATCGTATCCACACAAAGTCTGTATATATTTCAAAACATCAGCATTATCACTAGACCTGGATCAGGTGGTTTATTGCAACAATAAATAGGTCACACAGAATGTCCTGGCAGACATCACAGGTATCTTGTGCTTTCCGTATTCCATTCTGTTCTTTTATCAAGTGTTATCATCTAAAATGTTTGAGTATACCTTAAACCAAGAACCGACAACATAACTGTTCTGTCCCCTCCCATGAGTGGCCTTGCAGAGGCTCAAATAGCCCAGCAGTAACAAACGCAGGCTAGAGAGACTGAAGCTGGCCCTTTAATAAATAGTTCTCTTCCAAAGTGTATATCAGTCCAATAGTTACCGGGCAATGTTCCAAAGGTCTTGGCAGACAGCCAGCAGGTTAATGCAGGAATGCAGACTCTTGTCAAAAAACTCCAAACTAACAGTTGTAACTCTACTGCATCCAAAAGCCAACAAATTATTCACCACGCCTTTCCAGCCCAGTCACACCCCTTTTATACTTGGTAGGGTGTGGCCCTACATCTCCTGACCACACCTCTTAGGACATGGCAATAGCTGTTCTCTACGACGTCTCCTACGTCTCTCTCTTGCATCCAATAGGGGCTTCCCCTCATCGTTACCAGCCTCTGTTTCCTCCTCAATTTGTCTGGGGTCCATAAGCACCTCAGCAACTGTCAGTTCTTGCTGACTCACCAGTGAAGACGGCTCCTCCGGCACATAGCTCGTGACAGCTTCCTCCTCCTCCATATCATCCTCCGAATCAGCATGCGAAGATAAATCAGCCTCTGGGGCCGGGGTCACAACAATAGCACTTGAAGTATCTATGACACTTGTAATCTTCTGATGGCTACAACTATGGTATGATATTCCAAAGTTAAATTCGAATTAATTTTTCAGTTTATTGTTAAGAAAATGGCTGAAATGTGGGTGTTATATTAGTGAAAAGTAATAGAAACTAAGAAGAAAGAAAGTGCAGAAAATAAAAAATAAAAAAATAGGAATGTAGTAAAGAAAAAGAAATATATATAATGAAATGACTACTTATTCATCACAATTTTATAATTTATCTATTTTTCTTAAAATACAAATGATCTCTTCTTCCCAATCCCATTTCTTATCTATAAACAAGTCCATAAAACCTTGTCATTTCAGTCCTGATATCAGCAAAAGTCTATTAAAAGTTATTACAGTTTACAACATGTCTATTTCAATCTTGATCTAATAAACCAACTTTATATTCCTTCTTTTATTTTTAACAGTTTTGATCTTTAATTCGTTCAAATAAAGTTCTAGAAGTTGATTTCATTTCTCCATTGTCTCTATGCACAAAATCCTTCTACACTTAATCAGATCTCTTTTTTAAAATTCTATATAGAAAGGTTATCTAAGTTGGTCTTTGCATTATTATTTGTATATCTCTTTTAATTATTAAGACGTTAGGCACTTTCATCTGTATATCCAGTGTAACATCTTTTTCCATATTCTTGTAGCCTGTCATTTAGAAATCCACTTTCATATCAGTTTCAGTCTTGTCTGATAAACTTGCTTCTTTTCCATAACATCTTTTAAATGCTGTCTGTCTATAATGTTTTTTAAAAAACAACCCTGTAATCCCTTTATTCCAGAGGGAGTTGGCACAACTAAATGGAACTGAGGGTTTACTGGCCGGATGCCCTTCCTGATGCCTACATGATGTTCACAGCATATATTTTCTCTTTGTGCCCTGATAGAGAAGCATTGGTCACTGCTTAGGATTGAACTCTCAATCTTCGGAGGGGGAGGTGAGGATCATCACCTCTAGGCCATCACACTGTTCTCATTCTGTCTATAACAGTGCCACTGTTAAAAATAACTTCACATTGTTGTATGTATATTGAGAGCTTATGCACAAGAAACAAATTCCTTGTGTGTTCAATCACACTTGGCCAATAAAGAATTCTATTCTATTCTATTCTATTCTATTCTATTCTATTCTATTCTATTCTATTCTATTCTATTCTATTCTATTCTATTCTATTCACAAATAATGTTCAATACATCTAACACAGAAGTGGGTTTCAGGTTCTGACCAGTTCTGGAGAACCGGTAGCGGAAATTTTGAGTAGTTCGGAGAACCGGTAAATGCCACCTCTGACTGGCCCCACCCCCATCTATTCTCTGCCTCCCGAGTCCCAGGTGATCAGGAGGAAATGGGGATTTTGCAGTAACCTTCCCCTGGAGTGGGGTGGGAATGGAGATTTTACAGTATCCTTCCCCTGCCATGCCCACCAAGCCACGCCTACGGAACCGGTAATAAAAAAAATTTGAAACCCACCACTGGTCCAACAATAAAGTATTTTTTCCATTCTAAATCAGTAAGTTAATTTAAATGTTCTCCTTTAATTATAATCTTTATAATTATAATCTGGGATCCTTTTTGTTCAACCTTCAAAGACTCAACCTATTATGTTTTTTTTTAAAGAATTCAAAATAACAACATTTTCCCACAGGAAAGGTTCTTATAATTAATTTCAAAACCTTACTTCAAATTCACCTGAACCCTTAGGCCATTTTTAGCTCTCCTAAACAAAAATTTTTAAGTTCTTAAACATGTACTTAAAAATTCTTTCATGAAGGATTGAAGGACATTCACTTACCATTTCAAAGGTTCCTAAAAGCTGAAAAGCAATTAATAAGCAATTTCCAAAAGTGATTAGAAAAGGAAGTATGCAATGCCCAACCACCCCAATGAATATAAAAGCACCAACTGGGGGATTTGGTGAAGATGGTGTTCCTCATTTCCCATTGCTTTAAATCCATCAGAGGCCACTTTCTTGTGGTCTCCTCATGAGGAAGAACCACCTAGATCCCTCCTGTCCATGTTTTGAGAGGAATCCTGAAGGATCAGTCCATTTGCCATATCATTCTATCTACCTACCATTCTAATTTCTACAAGTTGTTGGGTCTACTCTCAGTGGAGCCATCTTCAATTCACATTTTCCCCCTAGAAGTCCCAGAAACAGTCTAAGATTAAAGATAATAGAAGAATTAGGCCAATTTTGTGCTAGGAGTATTGCCTTCTAATGTGCACTTAGCTGAAACAGCTGGGTCAAAGATGATATAATTTAATCACATATATTGGAATCGAGTACAATTAACTAGTGAACTTAAGACAAGGTCAGACTGTTTCAGGAAATCAAGTTTTGTTGAGAAAAACACACTGAAGCAGCATAATTATAGGTAATAAAGAAAATAACAATAGTTAACTGGCAAGACAATAGGGGCCTGTAGGGTAGTTTAGTGCAGTGTACTTTAGAAAAAAAGGCAGGAAATTACTTTAAAAAAAGGCTTGGAAAGAAAAGAAAAAAAAGACCACCCAACAACTGTTTTGTTGATTTGTTCCTTCCTGTACATAATTTTCACTTTTATACTTTCTTTTATTATATTCTTTTCCCTTACTTTCCTTTTGGAACACTTTTCCAGAATGCACAATAAAAGGCAGGGTCACCTGATGATATGCTTTAAAATGACCTATAATAGAAGACGGTGCTCCAAAAATCTATGATGTTGCATGTAGTAAATAAGTAATTTCTAGTTACATTCAAAAAGTAGCTTCTAAGAGCAGACAACTATGAGGAGATATATACGATGGTAGAAGAGCCTTCACTTTCCATTTTAAAAGGTGAAATGGATCTAAAGTCCTTTTCGCAATCTCTGCCTTTTGGAATCCTGATACCATGGAAATGTGTTTTGTGCAAAATGCCACATAGCTGTACTATGGACCAGGACAACTGTGAGTGGCTCTCTTGTAAGGAGCCACCTGACAGAATCCTTTTGTTTTCATCCAGCTCTCTTCAGCAGCATCTTCTAAGCTTCTTGAGGTGAACCTGAAAAAACCACTTACCGTATTTTTCGGAGTATAAGACGCACCTTTCCCCCCCCCAGGTGTGTCTTATACACCAAATGTAGCCCCGCCCACCCACTGGCCCCCACCCTTTGGCCTCTGCCTCGCAGCAGTTACCTCCTTGCAAGCAAACAGCAAGAAAAAACAGCTCCTTTTCAGCACAGCCTAATTAGCATAAGTTGATTCGATTGGCCTCCCGACTCTCAGCTGATTTGCTCTTAGCTGTTTTGTGCAGGGCTCTGCTGCTTGCTGCAAAGAGGTAAATTGCTGGAGCAGATTTTTTTTCCCTTGGGCTAATCAAGCTATGCTGAAAACGAAAATGAAAATAAAGCAGGCTGTTTGCTGTTTGCTGCAAGAGACAAAATTGCTCAGAGGCAGTGGGAGATTTCTTTTTCTTCTTTTCCTCACCAAAAAAGGTAGGTACGTCTTATAGTCCAGTGTGTCTTATACTCCAAAAAATACGGTATTGTCTCAGTGGCTTTCATTTGGTCATTATTGCATAATGTTTATGTAGTTCAGCAGTATCTAGAGGACTACAGGTTCCACCCTTATTCAAGGGTCTTACACCATGGATGTCCAACCTTTTGGCTTGTCTGGGCTGCATTTAAATTGTTTCTTTACAGCACTGAATGTGACACTTACATG